AAAAAAAATTATTTTGTTTAATACTTTTGGGTGTCTGGAATGGATTAATTCTATTTCCATTATTTCTTATGGGGAAAATTAATTCGACTAACGGCTAGCTCTCTGGAATGGATTAATGCCGTTGGTCGAGGGTCCACTGTATTTTTGAGAGATTATGAATTCAAAATGGAAGGCAAATGCAATACGATAGGCCTGGGGACATGACTAATGAACAGAGGAAATGGTGTTTTGGTCCCAATTATGTCTACATTGTTTATTTTGCATTTATTTTAAAATTAGTTTTTAAATTTTGTGTAAAACAGGCCAAATTATGGACTTCTGTGGACTTTATAGGGAGTTGTATTAGTTGAATGGGTGGTTCTTTCGTGCTCAATCTACAGAATGGAAGGCATACTAGTGAAATAGCTAAGAATTTGGTCAAATGACACAATACAATTGATTTAAAATAGGACTCAAAGTGGGCAAAATCACCGATGCATAGATTGGGCCCAGACCACTAACCTTGTGCCTTCATAATTCTGTAAGTTTACCAACAAATTCTGTACTTTTGGTGTCGTTACCTTTGGGAAAAGATTGTCATTTCAGACAAAAACCGTTTATTAAGAAAATAAAAGTTAACACTGATCAATATTAATTTCCGGGGTCTGGACAGTGAAAGGGTTAATTGTTCTCAATAGTCAGTTTTCCTCATTTAAATTAATTGAAATGCAATTAATACGGATTAATATTGTTTATTATGTCATCTAATATGACATAATAAACAATATTAATAGCATATACTCTAGAATGAATAAAATAGGCCATAATATGGCGAGTGATGGCAACGCCGGCGGCATCATCCTGCTGCCATTTACTCTCCCACTCTAGTATCTTCCCAGTCTGTAACCCCACACCCAGCTTGTGTTTATCTATGATTAGTGGTGAGGTTGTCACATATGTAACCACAGGTGTGGTCAAGACAGATGTACGTATACATAGGTGAAGACGTGATCACTGTGGCCACAGTGGTGTTGGTGGCCAGCTGCCTCACTCTCTGCTGCTGCCTTCTTCGTTTCTCTAGCTTTTTTCATAGTTCCTAATCGCTTCCTGAGCTTCTTGCTGATTGTACGCAAATACTGTCTCTTTGGGTGAGGCATTGAGTAAGAAATTTGTACAACATAAGACAAAATTACACATCTCAAGGGTCTGCTGCTGTCACTCAGAGCGGCTCACCTCCCATTCCTTTTGACCCTTGGTTGGCACTGAGATAGCCGTGGTCTAGCAGCTGTACCTACAGCCACCCAGAGGGTTAGCAATTTGTATTTTGAAGCATTTGGCACAAAAATACGAAAACAAAAATTACGGAAAATGTCTAAAAATGATGACATCATATTACTATTATATTGTATTATTAGTTATAATTATTATTTAGTACATACGTATCATAATTATTATTATTAATACATACGTATTATAATTATTATTTAAAAAAAAAAAAAAAAAAATAAATAATAATAATAATTATAATACGTATGTATTAATAATAATAATTATGATACGTATGTACTAAATAATAATTATAACTAATAATACAATATAATAGTAATAATATGATGTCATCATTTTTAGACATTTTCCGTAATTTTTGTTTTCGTATTTTTGTGCCAAATGCTTCAAAATACAAATTGCTATTATTATTATTATTATTAATACATACGTATTATAATTATTATTACTCTTATTAATTTAGGGAACTGGAGCACAGATCCAATTCCCTAGATCAAGAGCCCATCACCACATACTAATAATAATAATAATTATAATAATAATAATACAAAATAATAATAATAATAAGTGATAATAATAATAGTGAACATAGATAAGAGTAAGGTGATGAGGGTATCAAATGATTTAGATAAAGAAAAATTGGATATCACATTGGAGAGGAGGAGTATGGAAGTGAATGTTTTCAGATATTTGGGAGTTGATGTGTCAGCAGATGGGTTTATGAAGGATGATGTTAACCATAGAACTGATGAGGGAAAAAAAGGTGAGTGGTGCATTGAGGTATATGTAGACAAAAAATATTATCAATGGAGGCAAGGAAGGGAATGTATGAAAGTACAGTGGACCCCCGGTTCGCGATGCTATCGGTATCCGATAAATCCGGTAACCGATGCATTATATCGCAGAAAATTTGCCTCGCTTCCCGATACAAAACCCGGTATGCGATGTGGTTCGTACGAGACGTGTCCATGTGTGGCCTGAACTGCCCCGTGTGTGCCAGTGTTTACAAGCCAGCCAGTGTGCGCGCATCTAAGGATACATTCGGTACATTCCATATCATCCATATTATCACTGTTTTTGGTGCCTGTTTTTGCAAAATAAGTCACCATGGGCCCCAAGAAAGCTCCCAGTGCCAACCCTTCAAGACCAAGGGAACTAATGACTGTTGAAATGAAGAAAGAGATAATTGCAAAGTACGAAAGTGGAGTGCGTGTGTCGGAGCTGGTCAGGTTGTATAGTAAACCCCAATCAACCATCTCTACTATAGTGAGCAAGAAAACGGCAATCAAGGAAGCTGTTCTTGCAAAAGGTGCAACTGTGATTACGAAACAGCAACCGCAAGTGTTAGAAAATGTTGAGAGACTGTTATTGGTGTGGATAAATGAAAAACAGATAGCAGGAGACTGCATCTCTCAAGCAATCATTTATGAAAAGGCTAGGCAGTTGCATGACGATTTGGTAAAAAAATTGCCTGCAACTAGTGGTGATGTGAGTGAATTTAAGGCCAGCAAAGGTTGGTTTGAAAGATTTAAGAATCGTAGTGGTATACATAGTGTGATTAGGCATGGTGAGGCTGCCAGTTATGTTGTGCGACAGAAGTCCAGTGACTCTCAACCTGGTCCTAGTAGCATTAAAAGAAGGGAAGTAACCCCGGAAAAGGACTTGCTACCTCAAGTCCTAATGGAGGGGGATTCCCCTTCTAAATGCTAACACCATCCACACTCTCCCCTCCTCCCATCCCATCAATCATCACCAGATCTTCATTAAAGGTAAGTGTCAATTATTCTTTCGTTATTTATTGCTATTTATTGTTATTGTTGTTATTGTAATTACTATTCTATTGCATTAAACTTAATATTTCATGTGGTAAAAGTTTTTTTTTTCATACTTTTGGGTGTCTTGCACGGATTAATTTGATTTCCATTATTTCTTATGGGGAAAATTGATTCGCTTTCCGATATTTTTGATTTACGATGAGCTCTCAGGAATGGATTAGTATCGCAAACCGGGGGTCCACTGTATAGTGGTACCAACACTCTTATATGGGTGTGAAACTTGGGTTGTAAATGCTGCAGTGAGGAGGCAGTTGGAGGCAGTGGAGATGTCTTGTCTAAGGGCAATGTGTGGTGTAAATATTATGCAGAGAATTCGAAGTGTGGAAATCAGAAGGTGTGGAGTTAATAAAAGTATTAATCAGAGGGCTAAAGAGGGGTTGTTGAGGTGGTTTGGTCATTTAGAGAGAATGGATCAAAGTAGAATGACATGGAGAGCGTATAAATCTGTAGAGGAAAGAAGGCGGGGTAGGGGTCATCCTCGAAAAGGTTGGAGGGAGGGGGTAAAGATGGTTTTGTGGGCAAGGGGCTTGGATTTCCAGCAAGCGTGCATGAGCGTGTTAGATAGGAGTGAATGGAGACTAATGGATTTTGGGACCTGATGACCTGTTGGATTGTGAACAGGGTAATATTTAGTCAAGGGATTCAGGGACACCGGTTTATTTTTATATAGCCGGACTCGAGTACTGGAAATGGGAAATACAATGCCTGCACTTTAAAGTAGGGGTTTGGGATATTGACAGTTTGGTGGGATGTGTAATAGGAAGGTATATATATAACTGGGGCCTTGATATTGTAATTATTTCAGGTCACTTTTTATACTGTGTCTTTATATGTGCTTCTAAACTGTTGTATCTGGGTGCCTCTGCAAAAACAGTGATTATGTGTGAGTGAGGCGAAAGTGTTGAATGATTATGAAAGTATTTTCATTTTGGGGATTTTCTTTCTCTTTGGGTCACCCTACCTAGGTGGGAGACGGTCGACTTGCTGAAAAAAAAAATCAAATGAATTTGTCCCACTGTGTGTTGATAACCAAGTGATAAATACTGATCCCATCAACTGAATGATCTATATTGAGTCCTTTATCTTATCTCTTACTTCACTTTCACTGTACCTGATTATCCTAAGTATAATCCAATTCTACATCACTGCTACTACTTTGGCTCTTAGCACCACCCAAGCCTGTCCATACATAAAGCTGCTCCATCTCTGCCATTCTTCCCTCTACTCATACACTATATTCCTTTGCTTGTCACCTCCTACCTTAAATTTCCATACCTTTGCCTATGTTTTGGTTTCAATTATGATATTGAAACCTTCCTCTCACTCATAATATTCAGTAATACCCCCCCACACAAATCTTAGTGCTTAGTTATGATTATAATTATAATAAACCCCCCCACCCAGGGATTTCATAGTGTTTTACCTTCCAGAACATGAATAAACAATTTAATAAGAAAAATTGGTAATAAAGTAGTAAACTATTTAGATGTCAGTAATGACTAACCAAATACAGTATCCTAAAAAAATTTCAGTGGCAAAAATCCTACTATAAAGAAACATCACACTTTTGTCTTTAGTAACTTTCTAACAGGTAAACTGTGCAAAGCAAAAACAAAACTTCATGTCTTGGTAAAAATAACAAAAAGGTCACTACACTAATGCTAAATGAGGATAAAGCAAAATTGGTTGAAAATAGGAGATGCTTATCCTTTTATTATATACAGTAACACTATATACTATAATGGAAAAGCTCTCACGTTGATTTACCGTGGAGACAGTATGATACAAATTGTACACACCTCAACATGTCATTAGTATAAGGCCCCTTAGATATATAAAACTTCCACTCCCATATAAGGTAAGAAAACCATATACAGTAGGTTATGGAATGAAAGAACATTGACTTAGAATTTGTAAAATTGGGACATTTTATTTTCTTTCCAAAACAAGCTAAAATCAGCTGCCTGCATATTCATATAATTATAATAATGATTTATTTAGATGCTATAATACAGATGTATATAAAACAGTGCTAAGCTGTGATTAAAAAAATGAATGTGTAGCTAATTAAACAATCCACCTTCTAGCAGCAAGAGGAGAAAAATGTGGTCCTACAACAACCTCCAGTATCTCCAGCTGAATGTCTCAACTTGTGGTAATAATAAGGTCACTTTGACCAATTTCCTTGCAATCTTAAGAAAGTTTCTGAGCTCCTGTGCTCATGGCCAGACTGAGTAAATTCAAGGCCACTAGATTAAGACATCAGCCAGATGACAAATGATGACCCAAGCATTGACCAGTCATAGGTATCTGCATCAACAATTTTTTTTTTCTGGGCACAAGTTACAAGATTACCAGGAAGGCTGAAGTGTAGCAGCTATAAAGATACCACTGGTGAAAGCCAATGGATTACTAATGCTGAGGAAAGTAGAAACAATAACAGTGAAGGGCATCCCCAGCTGATACTTAGGTCCTTCCATTCTTAATAGTTGGGGTCAGACTCACAAAAAAAGATTATAAAAGATAATTCCTCCTAGCACTCATAAATGAGGGCCATAAACTAACCAGGTGAGAGAAGGGAAAATCAAAGAACCAACTGTTAGTCTCTCTTCATCATGTGAACCATTTAGTGCAAATGGCGAGACTTGGTAGGGCGAGATGAGAGACTGCTGATCCAACAACTATCCATGGAAGGACAAGAGTAGGAGGGAAATAGGGCTGGTGTGCATTCATTCACTCGTATAAAAGAATAAAATCATGGAGGTCATTACTGAAAAAAACCCAAATTTACAGGTCACATTAACCCATGACACTGCAAATGGGAAATCTATGATTGTACTGCAATTGCTTGCAGGAAATTAGCACAAATAAACGTGAAGATTGTGCTACATATTGGAGAGCAGGTGGGTATCATTAAGAAACAACCAAGGCATTACATACATCACTGGTATACTGTTCCTCCACATAATGACTTCTGCAGATTAGCAAGTCATGCACATTCACACACACAAACATTCACATCAAGCAGTGACAAAGGTGTTCATCAGTATCTAAAACTTGACTTGAGGCACTCTAATGAAAGCTATAGTTTTGATGACCAGCTGGAGAAACCTAGCATTATTAAAGTTTAAAATAGTATAGAGAGCCTGAAAATATAAAATTTTGTGTATCACTGTAAAAGCTACAACAAGATTTAGCTTATCAAATCTAAAATCAAAAATGTGTTTTCATAAAATAAAATTAAATAAAAAATAATTGTAACTACGTACTATAACAGTAACCACTAACAATTACTTAATAAAATTTTTCAAGCACTAACATTGTCATATCTGTAAAACTGAGTGACAGGGAAAGGTGATATTATGGAAAAATAGATAAGCTGACTAAAGATTTAGGTTGACAAGTCTTTGATGCGATGAACAATGTCAGCAGTAGCACATCTCTCGCCAGCACCACACGAGGGTTCCCACAATACATTCCTCTTTGCTATCTACAGATTCTGGCAGTGTCTGCAAAAGAGAACAAGGGTGAATATCTTATTTCCAATTGTTGCTTATTTGTATATAAAAAAAAATCTTTTACAGGAATTAGCTAAATCAAAATGACACGACTGTAAACAAAGTAAAGTGGGGTTCAACCTCATGACAAGCCAGTCATCAAATTAGTAGGGACGTGTGCACTAGCCTCCGAGTTGAAGGACTGACAAACTACAAGTCCGACTCTACTCTGTTCACTGAGTAATCTTTAGAGGATTTGTTCAGTGTTTCCTTCATGAAAATATGGTTAACATTTTGTAGTCCACATTCAGTAAAATTAAGTTAATAATAATAAAACTTCTCCATGGGGAAGTGGAACAGAATTCTTCCTCTGTAAGCCATGCATGTCTTAAGAGACGACTAAAATGCTGGGAGCAAGGGGCTAGTAACCCCTTCTCCTGTATACATTATACTAAAGTTAAAAAGAGAAACTTTCGTTTTTCTTTTTGGGCCACCCTGCTTCGGTGGGATATGGCCAGTTTGTTGAAAGAATAATAATAATAAAACTATTAAAGAAAAATCCTAATTAATGAAAAATGAAGTTAGAATTTATATTATTATTATTATTATTATTATCAAAGAAAGAGCTAAACCAACAAGGGTCATATAGCACTGCAGGGCAGAAAATAATGCTGAGGCTATAATCAGCAAGGTGGACAGGGGATCAGAGGTGAAGGGAGAAAAGGGCTGGAAGGGACGTCAAGGGCTATGTGTCAAAGTTTGTACAGTAGAGCAGTTGCTGAAAAAAAGTCAAAACGTGAATTTAAGTCCAAGGCTGGGCCGTCTGCAAGAAGGGAAGATAAAGTAAGAGTGGAAGGTCGGCAGCGTTGCTGGAGGTAAATCCTGTGAGCTTGCTGGTACACCAGACAATTGACAAGAAATTGAAGAACTGAAATAGGGACCTGACAAACCTCACAGAGAGGAACAGGGTGTCTTTCCATAAGATAGCAATGGGTAAGGAGTGTATGGCCAATGCGGAGCCAGGAGAGTGCAGTCTCCTGAGAACGGCAATGGTGGCAAGAAGATGGCCACAAACCTAAAAGCGGTTTAATAGAGTGCAATTTGTTACTGTGCATGCCTGACCACCGTTGTTGCCAACGGCTGTGAAGACAGGCCGAAATGACTGGAAAATAATCCCTGAACAGAATACCTCTTTAGGAAACCGGAAGATCATGCACCGCCGACCGTGTAGCAACATCTGCTTGTTCATTACCCTGCACACTAACGTGTCCAGGGACCCAACAGAAAACAACGTCTTGGTGTTTGCTAGCCACATGGCGCAACCATAGTTGAATATGAAGGACTAATGGATGAGGGGAATCAAATTGTTTAATGGCTTGTAAAGCACTGAGGTAATCTGAAATGATCACAAGCAACGAAGGAGACTTATGTAATAAGAAGCGCTATGAGGATGGCATACAACTTGGCAGTAAAAATACTAGCCGAGTCTAACAAGTGACCTTGTACATCATCAGGGAATACTGTTGTGAACCCAACACCGTCAGAAGATTTAGTACTATCTGTATAAACAGCGGTGGCATGAGCACGTGACCGGAAGTGCTCAAGAAAGAGAGTGAGATAAGCAGTCGTAGGCAGGAAAGCTTTGGCGCATGGTAGGGATAGTAAGGAAAAGGCAAACACTAAATGAACATACTGGAGAGGAGAAGACTGGAGTGAGTGAAGACGAAGAGAAAATGGTTGGAGTAGGCAGAGGCGCCGAACAAACAATGGACTTCTATTAATGTCCGAGACTAACCTATACATAGAAGAAACACGAAGATCATGAGCGCGGACAAAATAACGAAGACAATGAGCATCACGACGAACAGAGTTGTAGGAGAAGCCGCAGAATAGACTTGGTCACCATACTCCAGCTTAGACAAGACTAGGTAGGAATGCAAAGGGAGGAGAGCTCGGCGATCTGCTCCCCATGAACGATGCACAAGAATTTTAAGGATATTCAGCCGACTATGGCAAGTTGCCTTCAAAGAAGAAATGTGAGGTTTCCATGTCAACCAGCGATTGAAGAGAAGGCCAAGAAACTTGACCATATCACATTCTGGAATATGTGAGCCATGTAAATACTACTGTACAATGGAGTATCTGGGATAAGAGGACACCTAGTGAAGGTAATGAAACGGGTTTTCGTACTAGAAAATTTAAAAGCCATATGAAGTGGTCTGATGGGAAACTTGGTCAATCGCATCCTGAAGGGAGGCTGCTACTAGGCGACAGTCAGCACCTGAGTAAGCTATAGTTAAATATGCGATGGAAGAACAGAAGGTAGGTCATTTATAGCTAAGAGAAAAAGGGTAGTGCTAAGGACACAACCTTGTGGAACTCCCTCGGCTTGTACAAAGTCTGAGAAAAGCAAGGAGTCAACACAGACCAGAAAATGTCTATCAGATAAGAAAGCAGCAAAGAAGGTTGGTAGATTACTTCGGAGGCCTAAAGAGTAGGCTTGGGCTAGAATGTTATACCTCCAAGTAGTGTCATATGCCTTCTCAAGATCAAAAAAGACTGCTAGGATGGAGTGTTTGTTAGCAAAGGCATTTCGAATATACGTATCTAAGTGAAGCAAGGGGTCCAAAGTAGAGCGGCCCTTGCGAAAGCCATATTGGTGAGGGGAAAGACTATTGCGAGTCTCCAAGAACCACATCAGACGTCTATTCACCAGTTGTTCCATCACCATGCAGACCACACTGGTCAGGGCAATGGGACGGTAGTGCGAGGTATCAAGCCCCAAGTTGCCTGGTTTGCAAAACGGTAGTACGATGGCAGATTTCCATTGTTGAGGGAGAACCCCTTGCATCCAAATATGATTGAAAAGATGTAAAAGGACTGGAAGGGCAGTAGAATGCAGATGTTGTAGCATACTGATATGAATATCAGGTCCAGCTGCTGAAGGCTGGCAAGTGGAAAGCATGGGCTCTAGCTCTAGGAGAGTGAAAGGTACGTTATACGGCTCCATTCCATTAGAGGAGAAATCCAAGGGCAATTGCTCCTTGACAGACTTGGACGCAAGAAATGAGTGACAGGGGTGAAGCCCTTGGGAGATATGGACAAGATAGTTCCTGATTTCCATGGCAACTTAAAGAGGTTCTGCAACATTAACACCAGCAACCCGCAAAACAGAAGCTGGGTCCGGAGTGTACCTGCCACACAACTTCCATACCTTCTTCCACACATATAGGGGAAGACGAGGTAAAGGTAGACACGTAGTTTTGCCAAAAAGTGCATTGAGCATTGCGTGACGCGGCAAGCAACTGCCCTTGCTCGCTTAAAATCCGAAAGACACTGTGAAGTCTGATTATATTGATAATGGCCCCACGCAGCACGTTTCAAACGCATTGCACGGGCACGCACAGGAGACCACCAAGGCACACATGTCTGAGAATGCCTGCCTAAAGTTTTAGGAATAGAACGTGACGCCACTGTCAAAATTAAGCTTGAAAACTGGTGTGCCACTTCATCAATAGAGGACAAAAGAAGGTCCTCACGAAAGGTAGTAATACAAGAGTATAAGTTCCAATCCGCTCATGCAAATTGCCAATGAGAGCTATGAGGCAGTCAGGAATAGTATGTAGTAAAAGAAAGAAGTACAGGTCTCCCTCAACATTCGCGAGGGTTAGGGGATCAAGAGCCTCACGAATATTGAAAAACAGTGAATGTTTGGTGCCCCAATATATTGTAGGGAAATATAATACAATACTGCTTCCTTAACTCGTTGAACCATGATCATAAAATACATAAAAACGTCATAAATTGTACAAAATATATACATGTTATGCTTTAATAACATGTATGTTATTAAATGCCACAGACTCCACCACTGCCTCCACCACTGCGAGTCCCTACTACCCTCCCACCGACCCCCGCAACTGGCAGCCAGCCCTCCCACCACTCAGTGTGGTGAGTGTTTTGTTTGTTCATTATTTGCTATTAAACTACAGTATAAATAATGTAAACCCATTAATGACTGCATATTGGAATGGCTATTCAGACAGGTATTGGACGGTGACATCATGTGTTTACTCTTGAACACAGCAAAGAATCAAACATTTCTGCTACTGCTAATAACAACAATAGTAATGGTACAGAGAACCGACATGTTGATAAATTAGGCACATATACAACTCTTGGGAATCTTCAATGAGGATTCTTCATTGAAGATTCCCAAGAGTTGTATATGTGCCTAATTTATCAACAATAGTAAATAATAATAATAATAATAATAATAATAATAATAATAATAATAATACAATAAAATTGAAGAAGGAAATTGTACAAAAATATGAGGGAGTGGTTGACACATCGTCAGTGTGGCTTTGTTTATGCTGGAGTGAACATTAGTCTCCCAGCTTTTCCAAACATTTCACAATAATTCAGCGTTTGAGGCAGTGGTATTTAATAACATATATGTCATAAATAATAATAGTACATATTATTAATAACATGTATTATTATTATTAAGCAGTAGTATTTAATAACATACATGTTATTAAATACCACTGCCTCAACCACTGCCTCAATCGCTGCCTCAATCGCTGCCTCACCCACTGCCTCAATTGCTGCCTCAACAGCTGCCTCAACCACTGCATCAATCGCTTCCTCAACAGCTGCCTCAACAGCTGCCTCATCCACTGCCTCAATCGCTGCCTCAACAGCTGCCTCAATCGCTGCCTCAACCACTGCCTCAATCTCTGCCTCAACAGCTGCCTCAACCACTGCCTCAATCGCTGCCTCAATCGCTGCCTCAACAGCTGCCTCAACCACTGCCTCAATCGCTGCCTCAATCGCTGCCTCAACAGCTGCCTCACCCACTGCCTCAATTGCTGCTTCAATCGCTGCCTCAACAGCTGCCTCACCCACTGCCTCAATCGCTGCCTCAACCACTGCCTCAATCGCTGCCTCAACAGCTGCCTCAACAGCTGCCTCAACTGCTGCCTCAACTGCTGCCTCAATCGCTGCCTCTACCACTGCCTCTACCACTCCAGTCGCACTCAATCTACAAGCACCAAACACAATGAATTATTGTGAAATGTTTGGAAGAGCAGGGAGACTAATGTTCGCTCCAGCATAAACAAAGCCATACTGACGATGTGTCAACTACTCCCTCGTATTTTTGTACAACTTCCTTCTTCAATTACGTATATCGTATTTATTATTATTATTATTATTATTATTATTTCTATTACTATTGTTATTATTAGCAGTAGCAGAAATGTTTGATTCTTTGCTGTGTTCAAGAGTAAACACATGATGTCACCGTCTAATACCTGTCCGAATAGCCATTCCAATATGCAGTCATGAATGGGTTTACATTATTTATACTGTAGTTTCATAGCAAATAATGAACAAACAAAACATTCACCACAGGAGAAGAGGGGACTACACGAGGGAAGGGGGGTGAACCTCCACCTTCGTGAGAGAGCTAGAAACAGGGCGAGAACCTGGCGCCGAGGTAGAAGGCAGATTCAACTTCACAGGTGATAGACGCGAAGAAGGTGTAGGCTTGCGAGATCTCATAGACTGAGAAACTAGCAAGCAAGATGAAGCAGCAGAAGTAGGAAGAGGTGCAGAGGTAGGAGTTTCAGAGGATAAAACTGCAAAAAGAATTAGAAACAGGGGGTGACCCCAGAAGACATGGTCGTAGAGGAGCTGGTAGGCGAGAGGACCGTCAAGGTTGGAGGTCTCTGGGCTACCCGTGAATAAGGAACACTAAGGAGTTTTCCCTGAAGGCGGAGCTGGGAGACCGCCATAGTGTAAGGCCTTCACTCTCTTTAAGATAGTGGATTTCTTGTTCATTACAATAAAATTGACAACAGCGTGAAAAAGTAAGATGAGATTCATTGCAATTGAGACAAGAGGGGGGAAAGACTGCAAGAAGTATTGGTATGATCTGCAGAACCGCAGACCAGGCACTCTGCTGTAGATCTGCAGTATTTAGCGGGGTGCCTGAAGTGCCAGTAATTACGACACTGTTGGGGAGTAGGGACCACTTTAAGGACTTCTAGGCGATGGCTTGCAATATAAACGGAGGACGGGAGTTCACGGCAGTTGAAGGTTAAGTGGGTGATGTTACTGGAAAAGCGCGTCTGCCCATGAGCAGGCAAGATGTATGTATTCATTTTGAGAATAGGAAGGTATTGAAGGGCTAATTGCTCTAAAATATCATCGCTGCAAAACAGAAAATCGCTCTGTACAATGGTATGCAATAAAACCACAGTACCACTGCAAGAATTGAGAGTATTGTGCTTATGAGCTATGATTAGAATGTTATCTATGGAAGTTATATGGGAGAGAGCTTGAGCTTGTTCTGAATTCTGAGCTGTAATGACACATGTGCTGTTTCAAAGAGCTTGAAAAGATATATTTAGGCCAATGTGTCATTAAAGAGCTTTACCAATACAGTGGAACCCCGAGTTTCGAACGCATCAACTATCAAATGTTTCGAGTTTTGATCGCTTTTTTCGCACCATTTTTTTCCTGAGTATCGAACGTGCCCCGTGTTTCAAACCACGTACCAGACCTGTCCGTCTGCCCCATGCCTGCGCATCTCCCCACGCAGGCGTCGCAAATCAGTCTGGCTTTGTTTCTCAAGTAAACTTTACAATATATACTAGGCATTTAAAGTGCCCTAGAGCAATAAAATGCATATACAGTACACTCATTACTTACCTAAAATATATTTGTAGTCTTAATGGTCTTAATATATGGTGCAAGGTGAATAGTAAGGTAGGTAGGTATCAAAATGTGGTACGTATGTAACCCCCATGTTTGTGAGTTTTGTAAACAAACCAGTTGTTGTTGTTGTTGTTGTTGTTGATACCAGCCTGGACACAAATTGTTTTTGTTCACTTCATTAAGCCGACTGGAAAAACATTTCATATTTATGTTAATTTATATGTTTGTGTGTTATGTAGTGTGTTTATTATGTAGTTTTGGAAAAATATCATACATGGATAAAGCAAAATGTCTATTAAAATTTTATATGACATTTAATATGCCTCAAAGTGATTATTATTGTGTTGCTATTATTATTATCATTATTGTGTCGTCTTCATGACTAATAACACACACTTAATGATTTTAATGAGTTCCAACATGCCAGCACAGGTGCAAGTTGTGGAGTTTAAAGCCTATCTTCTACAAGGTATGTAAATGGTGTACGTACACCATTTCATGTCTACATTATGTTTTTTTTATGAAAGAAGTGATCTAATGCAGTTTGCCTCACAATCTCCATTTTCTTTTATACTAACACGTCTGAAGGAGGAAAGAATGGGAAGACGTTTTCATAGCTGGAGCAAGAATGCCTGCGACTGCGTCATCCCCTGCCACCACATACATAATGACATACATATTTTATTCATTCTAGAGTGTATATCAGGTTTTTATGTTACTTCTATTGTTTATTATGCCATATTAGATGAATTGTGATAGATAAATAAGCTGTAGAGTTGATAATAGTGTCATATTGAAGTACTATTTTTTCATGCCTCTTGACAGGAGGAACAAATTAATTGAATTTACATTACATTATTTCTTATGGGAAATACTGCTTCGAGTTTCAAACATTTTGACTTTAGAACTAGCCCCTGGAATGGATTAAGTTCGAAACTTGGGGTACCACTGTACTATGATCAGAAAGATAATCAGCTGGAGACATCGTTGGAGAGAAAAGAATTTAGTACACTGCGTACCTGTAAACATGGTGCGCAAAGGGAGTGGGTGTTGCATAGGTCGTTTTGGGCAGACATCGAAGAACCGTCATCAGTAGGTTGTCTATAACGCTTAGTAGTACCGCGGGCGGTCTGACCTGAGGGAGGTGGGTGATCCAAAAACCGCTGCACCGTATTTGGGGAAGTCGGATGCATTGTTAAAGGTGTGCGAGAAACAGCAGCATTAACAGAAATGGGTGGCATCCCAGCACCTGAAGCAGGTGATGGAGCATCACCAGCAGAAGGTACAGGGGTATGGGAAGAGTCTAGAGAATGATCCAATAATGAAGCAGAGTCAGAATAGGATGTGGGATCAGAAAGGAGCCTGGGAGGAGGAGGGTTATCACAGAATGAAGACTCCATGATAGTGGTGCTTCTTTCTTATTTTAAAGAAAAAAAAAGAAAGAAGGAAAGAAAAAAAAAAGGAAAGAAAAAAATGGGGATAGTGGAAGGACAGTCACTAGAAGACATGGAAGGCCCATAAGTTTGTCCCCTCATCCAAGAGGGCCTCGAGCCCATGAGCAGTGCAGATGCAGCGTGGAACCTGTGCCATACTCTACCCTTCATGCCAGTAAACCAGTGCTCCGGGATAGCAACCTCACTTCTACTGAGCCACCTTGGCGGACAAAAGAAAGGGCGATTGGAAACCCGCCACAAAGCATACCACCTTCAGCTGTCACCTCCCAGAACCAACAGGCAGCCTCTGGAGATACACCCATCACCTGCAGGATACCAAGCCCACTTCTCAGAAATCTGGGAAGGGAGCAGGGCACCTCTAGACAATTCAGATTCCATGGCAAACTACACCACCCCCGAGGGACTCCATGGAGTGGGACGAACCCCAGCACACTACCCCGTACCTAGAAACCGTAATGCCAGAGCGGAGGACCCCAGAGACTACAAACAGGATGGGGAGAGGGGAGGGTTGGGAAGTGGGAGGAAAGGAGAAAGAAAAAAGGGGGGGATGGGGAGGATGAGATAGGGAAGGAAGGATTGGGGGGTAACTAGGTTCAATCGGAGGAAGAAGACCAAAAGGTCCAATTCCTCAGACCAATAGCCTCTTTACAATGACAAGGAGCCTCCTTTAAAGAGGCTAGAATTTATAAACTTTTAATATTAATTAACGAATAATAGTTCTTTAATAATAATCATCATTACTTGTCAAAACTAAATTTTCTTTGCATTTATTTTTTTTTTTAAATTACTGTATAGGTATTGGTCAATGTGTGGTGTAGCTAATTAGTGTAATTACTTTATCTTCTATTAAACCAAGATAATCAGCCCCTCATGCATGCAACAAACAAAGCAAACTATTTTTAATTTCTTTGGCTGTTTCCCACTAAAGTAGGTAAAAGCTATACAGAAATTCAGATATGTAATGAAGAGTTAGATATGGAAATCTGCAATCTTGTAATGTTGTTGGGAGCCAGAGTTGGTACCTCTTTCTTTACTCTTCTGGACACAGCCTCTCATATCTTTAAAAAGTATTAATTTATTTTCCATGGTTACGAGATTCTCAAATGCATTCATCTTTGATACATAGTAGACTCTCGTATATCATGTGTCCAAGGATCGCATTTTCAAGAAATTGCTAATGAAGTTTCATATGCTACTTAAGTCATAATTGCATGGGAAAGTGACTGGTTGCTGTCACTGAAATTTGGGAAAAAAATGCACAGAGGGAAATTTTTCCTGATGAGCTGGATGAAATTATTTCTAATACAGGACTCTGACACATCTAGAAGCACTGCTTTCCTAAACAGGAGCACTGCAGTAGACCTACATCAACTCTCCCCAAACATCTGCAGATCAACAAGAAT